TTCGAATACTAGTCGTGAATCCCAGAATACATCAAAGCTTTTTCAATAAACAACAAGTTTTCTTTATTTAAAAATGAAACCCACCAATCAGCGGTCAGACACAAATAAAAGAGCTTAACGTTCGATATGAAATATGCAGCCAACTGTGTTCCAAGTTCGACCCTAGCCGGCATTAGTTATTCAATATCAGAACGGTTCATTTAACATCAACTTTATTATTCGCTAACAAGGAAATGTGCCAAAGACGATAATCGTAATAAACGGTTTGTTCTAATATTGAGATATATTTTTGTCTTAATTTGCGAAACGGATATAGGGAAAAAGTATATGTATTTACTAAATTGGGTAGATAATTTGTATTTTACGTTGATTCATGTTATTTATATTGAATTTTGCTATTATTAAAAATTGAACACAACGAGATAAGTACTACTAATCATGACAAACTTTTACCGATTCATTTGATAGAGAACTGATTTGCTTGGATTTTCGGTCTCTCCATCTTCCGGACTGCTGCGGACTACCGCCTAGCTTTATTAAATATTGATAGAAATAATTGTTCCTAACTATTTATATAATAACTATGTCAATCTCAATTATCTATGGGAATAAATTGATTTTTTTTTTCATATTTATCTGTCTCGTATACAGCGAGTAAATTATGCACGATGAAAAAGGCAACACATTCATTCATAGTGATCGAGACTTAACAAAATGGCCGCGAGCGGGAAGCCGTCACTCGATTCAATTTGCGCGGCAAGACGGCGCGGGGGCGACCTGTCCCTCCGCGCACTAGGCCGAAACAAGTCCCGGTGTAATCCCTCAAATCCAAATTAGATTTTCTTTCACCGCCTCTCTATTCACGGGTCGCGACGGGCTGCAGCCGCGCCGCACCGACGCCTCGCAATCCTGGCAGATGCTCAACTCCGAGCACACTACAGTCGACTCCAATTCGAAAGTGGGCTAACAAGTAACGTTGGAAGCGGAATTAAAATTAGAGTTCAGGTTGTACGTTTCGTGATTTCTATGCGTTGCATACGTAAAAAATCATACATGTAAAACTTTTTATTCAAAAAAACAAAACCGACCTCAAATCGATCTAATCAATATCAAAATCAATCAAATCAATATCGATTAAATTCATAGTGGAGCACGTGGAAGGTATACCGGACCCATTGCAAAGAGATTTTTTTTAGATCGGCTCATAAATAACGGAGTTATGAGACCCGAGTTAAAAAACATAAATTAATACAATTGAATTGAGAACCTAAATGTGATATTGACATTTTTCATGATTTACTTCTCATAATCAAAAACTAGATGCTGAAATCAATGCGCGATAAAAATAATGCTAACGCTACTATAATTCCATATTACCGTTAATTTTGTCTTTCTGATTTTGATTTTTCTCTTTTTTTATTAACTAAATAATACAAATTATTTTATAATTTATAGGTAGTGTGCCATATATGTACAAATAAAAGTTAAGATAATCATACTCGCATAATATGTAATGCCACTTAATATTTTCATATGTACGAGTATACATACTGTTGGTATGTTTAATTAATTAATAAGACCCTTCTCCTTTTTTGAATTCGGTTGAAAATGTAATATTGTTTTGCCCTCTAATTGTTTCATTCCAATTGCATTATTTATGTATAAGAAAAATCGGAGGAGTATCAATAGTCGTGTTTTAATCATTTTAATACAGAACAAAGAGAATTTATATCGATTCATGTATTTAATTTGAACTGAAAAAATCAGCGATGAGGATAATAAATATTTTTTATCATACAGCACTAGAACTAGAACTCGCGACCTTAGATTGCTAGTCAACAATTTAGCCATGAAACCACCACTGTCGTTAAACGTTCGTTTCCACTAATCTCTTTAATGCCCATTGTAACCTAGTTAAACTCGTACTACAAGCGGAGTATTAATTTTTATTGTTCAAATTTTGACGTCGCTACAATACCTTGTCGGCGTAACAAGACGAAACAATTAAACAAAATAGCGCGATAATAATGAGCAGCCTTTACAAATATTGGGGCAGATTTAACCGTGTGTAATGCGATAGTGCGACAGGCGACATCGCGTGTCGACCCGCCGTCAGCCAAAAGACTCACGCACTTATTTTAACATCGTTTTACATACAAAATAACTATTTTAATACCGACTGTTTGCGTTCTTTATCATTATAACATTTGACCGGCTCGCTCTAGATTAGTTTTAATTACTTTAAATACCTCGTTTCCCGAAATACAAATTCCACGGCGAACACAAAAATGTGCGAGGCCGTGGCGTACAAAAAAAATATGTAACGTCATCCCGCAGCAAATTATTAGCGACAGCGGGGTGATGGACGATTTTTAATAAAACCACCCTTGCAAACATTAGCTGAGATTCGCGTCCTTCATGCGTAAAATTTCATTACCGCCACTCTAGTACGCCTGCTTCTAAAATAAAGAGAGCGACACATCGACGGTGAAGCATTCCGTACGGGACGTTGGATTCGCAATACTGGGGCCGATTGTATTTTCATAAACGAATTCACCTTTTTACGTTCGGCTTAACGAGCTCGCACATGTAATTTGCAGGGTCCGCCCGGCGGGCTGTCCTCGAAGAGTCAAATTGAATATGAAAGGAAATTACGTAGGTCCACAATGACGTTCGACTATTGTACAGCCGGATCGCCCTCTAAAAACAATGCCGTAACGGAAATTAAGCAGATATACATATGAATACAGCTGAGAATTTGCAAATGGACGTGGATTTATGGAAAATAAGAATGGATTAAGTCCGGTGGAGCGTGGACGAGATCTTTATCGCTGTTATTGAAATGTCGAAAACAAAAAGCCTTGTTATTAAGGAAAACAAATGGTTTGTTTATTCAATGTGTTGATATTGATATTACTTTACACATTTTTTAATTCATGTCGATAATCGTCGCTTTATCCATTAGTCTTCGGTGTAAAAGGGAATTCTTTAGATTTTCAGTCTTTTGTTAATAACAACCTCATTGAGATAGATATTTTTTTTAAATAGGACTTTCAATGTGACCCTTTGACAAAAAATTATGTGTGTACGTAAGAAGTCATATTTCTTTAGCGTAGCAAAAAAATAACTAAAAACTTATCCCCTGCCAGTAGGTACTCTTGTTTGAAAAATATATTAAACGCAATTATTAACTGTTTATTAGATAACATAGAATTATAGATTAATGCCAAAAAGTTTTTCGAAGTTGGTTGCATTATGTCGGTGTCGTATGCGAGTAAAAATTTTACTGTCATATTTTTCCAAACGCGCCAAAACATAACTCCAAAAATATCGAAAATATAACAATTGAATGAATACTTTTTTGTTGGCTCCTATCATGTTTGTTTATGTCTGTTGAAGCTGTTTTTCAAGATATTTCCAACCAAATTCGCGTCCGAAAATCGCTGTGACCAACAGATTTACCATTTGACCCGTTCTTGGACTTAAAAACAAAGTGGGAGACTTTTACGAAGTCAGTTTACCCGGTTTGCTTAAGGGGGTGACAGTTTAGTACTAGGAAACGTAATCCGAGCTACGTCGGTTTCATTTGATCAAGATAAATAAGGTAAAACTTTCCGCAGTCTCAGAATACTCGCTGACGCCGCGTAATACTGTGCGCTACCACCTATCGTCTGAACACCGCGGTGATGAGATTAACACTAACGACTAAAAGAGATATGGCTCTAACTGCGGACGCTTCTCTGCTCTGCGGTAATGTCCATTGTTTTACATTGCACAATGCTATCGCTTCCGCTTATAGTGAAATCTATGCAATATATTTTATTGTTGTAAAACTGTTTTTATGTATTTTAACGTGTTTGATTTACGAGACACACCTCAGCCTGAACTCGGACGCTGATAAATTCGAAGTGTCGGAAATTTAAAAACTAAATCCTCGCGATCAAATACGTATTTTTTTTATTTAACAATATTGAGTATTCAAATAAGTACAAGAAATTTAAAATATAACCATTTTGGGAGCCATTACTTTTAAATAAAATTTATATGTACAAAATATAAGAACAACACAAACAACAAGAAATTAGAATCAAGGTTAAAACGAAACAAAAGCGACATATAAAAATTTAAACACTGTTTTTAGAAGAGAACTATTAGTCAAAACAATGACAAACGAAAACGTTAGTATTTATAATACATCACTTGGTTGTACAAGTAAAAGAATTTCATTATATATTACAGCTGAATCTTTTTTAAGCAGCAATAACGGATTTAAATAACTTTCACAGTGTTTATGAATTTCGGGTTTGTTTTTCTTTCGAGATGTTTACACGCATCTTCTGCGCGTTCGAAACTAAGTGATTGTAAGTGAAGGAGCGTGCTGGCGCCTCACCGGAAGTCGTTCCCGCATGACATGACGGACGCCGGATGTGACGCCGGATCGTGTTCCTTCGTTATGTCGCCTCGCTATCGCTCACTGAAGCCTTTTATCCTTCAACGCGATATGCTCCGGTATTCATATTTGATGATCCATATTCATTCATTGCTATAAGATTCCAGTAACCGGCTACCTATTAAAATTAAGCTCAGATATTAAAGAGACCAAACACATTCAATAAAAAATATAAATATAATAAAAATAAAAATACAAATAACACTTTGTCTGAAATCTAAACGCAATAGGTTAAAATAAAGTTCGTAAGCGCTATGGCAGTTTAATATCACTTGGCATCTTTGTCCATAATAGTTTTTGGAATTAATCCTACTCTAATTTAAGGCGAAACTTTCGTAGTAAAATCCTTTTCTTCCCATTTGCGAATAAGAAACATTTCGAGTCAATTGTCATCCGGTCGTAAAGAGGGGGGACACAACGAACTCGTCCCGGCAATAGGGCTGCGAAACTCAAGACACGACAGCACCAAGATTCTCAAGTTCGTAAATCGGTCGGCAATGCCAAAAACGTAAGTAATGCGGCACGACCGCCAGTGCGTTTTGTTTTTACAATGCTGTTCGTTACGGCCGGCCTTAGCGATTACACCCCCATTGTGTTCCGCGGCCGCTGCCAAGACCCCGCGGAGAGAGCTGAACTCGCAAAAGTTTCCGACTCGTTCAAATGGGCGGCTTTTGTTAGAGAGCGACTTATTGTTCGGGACAGATTGCGGGGGATCAGCGTCGGGCTGTCCCGAAATTCGCGCCAGACGTAAGACACGTGTAAGTGTTGCGGGGAAACTTTCTCCGTTTTCCCGAGTTGCTTTTTTCCGCTAGTACATGATGCGCAAATACATTTTATGGGTAAAGGGGGCTTTTCGGCTTAAAGCTACTTTATGTGTTGCTTTATATTGAACATCGCATCGTTTCTAGTTTGTTATTTGAGAGAAAAACTAGTGAATTTAGTGTACTTCTTTCAAACAAAACGGGAAGTTTATAGTGCCAATTTGTCTCTTATAGATATGTTTACGTCTAATTTTACATTATCATTTATTATTTAATTTGTACTTGTTTTTATTTAGCATTATACCTTTTTGTTACGTATCGGATTGAAAATAAACATAATTATGATTTACCATAGAGTTGTCGCATAAACTTCGTGAATACGCACTAAAGTTCACCACATCTTTGAGCGGGGTCGTTAAAGTCACTCATCGGGAACATTGCAAATTATTCGTACATATAAATATATCACACACATAAATAAAATCGTTCAAACGTTGATCAATAATCCCGTAATATCCCGTAAACGATTAATCCTGCAAATGTATGAGCAATTAAAATAATGTAACAATGTGTAAGAGAAGTTGATTTATTTTTTGCTTGCCATTTATGTATGATATCCGGCTTCCATTGACTCTGGCTGCGAGCGCCCCGACGTCGCCGTCACGGGCTGGTTCTCTTCATTCAGCAAGAGGCCATTTTGTTGGCGGGAACTCCCGTAAAAGTTAGGCGAAATAAAGTCTTTGTTTAAGCTAATATAAAAGCCAAAGTCGCAGTAAGAACAAAAGTGCAATTGGAAGCTATAAATAATTTTCTATTAATACTACTAAACTGATAAAAATTATGTAATTAATACTTGGCCTTCGAAATTATAAGTGGCAGCGTATTTAGGAACATAATAATAATATGTATCTTTATCGAAACCTCAAATCCGTTTAACATTATTGTTAGTTTAGTTTCGACCTTCCATTACGAGTTCATAGCTCTAGAAATACGCACCAGGTGTTACTATTTGCAGTAGGTACCAAGGAAAAATCTTATCTTAAAAAAATATTTGTGATATATTTTTGTTTTGTTGTATTGTTCCATATGTTTCCAGATTGTTTTTTAGATCCAAATATAAAATTTTAAGGACTTGGGGGAATATTTTCTTTTGTATCAAAACAATACTATCCTCACTATCATACTTTTTAATACCATATATATACATCATTGTACATTGTATTATCAAAGTAATGAGTCTCGTCCATACAAAGTCCAGTCAACGAATGCCCAAAACGGGGATCTACAAGAGAAGTCAATAAATGGACAGACTAAGGTGTCTTTTTGTATGAAATACAAGACTGAATCTGATGATGGAAGAAGCGGCAAAAAGGGCGTAATTTTCCCTTTGTTTGGTTATTCGCCTATATCTCAGTAAGGGGTGGTCATACAAAAGATATATTCGTCTAAAAATTAAAGCTGGCAAAATTAAGTACATGTTTCATTCCTATAGTGTTTTATTATCTGTTACCGTTAAAGAGTTATTGCCATGCTCCGTGACATACATGTGAGTGACTTAAGCACTTTTGAGGACTTCACCAGCATGTCACATCTCCAACGCATGTGCAAACCCCCATGTGTCGCAGATGACCATGGGCGGCTGTAGTCAATTAATTAGGTGAACTGCCTGTTCGCTTGCCAACATTCTATATAAAAAAAAGATTATGGAAAATAGAACTCCCAACATTTTCTCCATTTTACCTGCTCATCCCCCTTTTTAATTTGGGGCAAGGATTTTTAATATGTTATGCTACGAGGTACCCCAAACAACGTAGAAGCTCTTTCCGCTTATCAAATTTCCTTCCAGAATGATTCGTTGACTGGGTCATATATTGGATACGCTTAAGAATCTTCAGAAGTATTGAAGTCGTGACATGTCCTATTAAAAGTAAAAAAAGTAAAGTAACAGCCTATACATGTCCCACTGCTGGGCAAAGGCCTCCTCTATACAGGGCATAGTCTACCACGCGGCCCCACTGCGGACTTCACATATCTTCGAAATATATATATTTTTTGTTATTATTTCGAAAATATGCAGGTTTCCTCACGATGTTTTCCTTCACCGCACGTGTTAATTCAGCACTTAAACTAAAAAACTTCATTGGTGCCGGCACCGGGGATCGAACTCGAGTTGCTCGAGTATATTGAATTAAAGGCCAGTGCCCGGACACTGGAACAGTGCAACCACCGGGAACTGGGGGCCTTAGATCTGAGTTGGTTTTCATTGAGGGGAAATCTGCCTTAGTCACCACGCTTGGCAGGCGGGTTGGTGACTGTGGTGGCCAGGACACTGAGCTCCGTGATAGCTCCTCATGACCTATTATAAAAGATAAAATTATTCTTTTTAAATAAATATCTGGCCTTAACCAAATTACCAATAACGCGATAAGCATATTATACATATACGAGTACACAACATTTGAACAGATAGCTACCGTTTTGTGTACCTCAGAAACGTATAGCAATAACGAAATAATATGTTCTGTGAGATGGAATTCATATATCATAAGGACAGTTACGTATAAGATATTGCTAAGAATGGTACTTTTCCCTTTATTTCATAGTAAAGATAAAGGCGAATAGGAGGGGGCTAACAGACTCGATGTCAGCCTCCTTTGCATTCATTCCCTAACATTTGCGTCACATAATATTTCACGGCCAGTGCGAGTGAATTTTATATGCATGAAGACAATCGGATTTTATTCCAACATATGGGGGGCAATTTGTTTTATCGCGTAATACAATGGATGTTGATACTCCTTGCCCTAATACGTGTGCAGAAACGAAATTGCACTATCCTCTCGAAACGTATTCACGAATTCATACCTCACATTAAAATATTGACGTGTACGGGGATAAAGTTTTCACGGATACATTAACTCCTGGCTCCATCGCTGACGCCGTAAAGTTTATTAAATGCTATAACGAATTCAATAGTTCATTCTAACGTCTGTAAGTGTTATGATGCTAATAAAAAGCTCATTTGCGCCACGCTTTAATGATCGCTGCCCCGACACGTGAACAGCAATATAAAGCTAGATTGTTATGAACTTTAAATTGAACACCATATTTCATCTTAATGCCGTCATTAGCTGCACGGATCTCACAACAAAAACATCCTTGTACTTAGAAAATCTGGCAGGATCGTATTAACATAACCACTTTGTTAAGTGAAGTCGAGATAATTTGTGGCCGAACTTGTGGCCGTAATACCGCGTAAATTGCTGGATGAGACTGTGTAAGACAACTGTTAGTTTTAATTAAATTGCTGCCCGCGGTCGGGGAGTCCTCCAAACGAGAAAATTATTCTAATCCCACACGCCTCCCTGTTTACGGAACCAATGGGGAATTAATATATTGGATTGCTCTCGAGATATCACATACTGCAATTTATAAGCACCGTGCAAACGAAGCCGTTAAGGTTTTCTGAATAAATAACACCGTAACGGCGTAGTTTTTACATTGGAAGCGACACTCAAATTATACTCAATAGTAACATTACTGCCGAAGTCTGCTCAATTTAATGAAAAGTATAAAGAACGGGACGAAATTGCCGGAACAAGATAATCTCCAGTTTCAATTTGTGAGACGACGAGGCCGAGTGTCTTGGGAAAAGTATTTCATTAGATGTAAGGAAGCAATCACCTCTTCGGTGAGATGGACACCTGACATTATATAGACAGCCTCTTGTTAAAATTCGTGCAATAATTTTATTTATTAAAATACAGATATGAAATAAATACAAATTATTAAAACATGTAGAAAAAGTACGAAAAGATTGTCGCCGCTGTGGGAATCGAACCCACGTCTTCGGCATTCGCGGCCTGACGCTCTAGCCACTGAGCTAAACGGCTGATAGCCACAGCGACGAAAATCTTAACGCCTTCATTCTACATTCTTATTTAGCATTTGAAGCAATGCGTGGCGCATCTATTGTTATATCCTTTTCAGCATACAAACAATTTCGAATATCGTTTTACAACGATAATGCGAACGAGAGTATGAAAGTACGAAAAGATTGTCGCCGCTGTGGGAATCGAACCCACGTCTTCGGCATTCGCGGCCTGACGCTCTAGCCACTGAGCTAAACGGCTGATAATTTGTTTTATTCCGGCCTCGTTTAATGTTCAATCTTAAGTGCAGAGATTAGCACTATAAAAAACTTAAAAAAATACAAATTATTTCATGCTTCATGCAGGTGTTCGAATTTTCATGTGCATCACAAAAATTTAAACTAAATTCTTATCGAGTTAAAGTTACATGTTAATGACTAAATTATTCTTTACATTTATTTTAAGCGTATAGCGTAGTAGCGATAGAGGTAAAAGCGAATATCTTAAGCACATCTTCAATGAATTGACTAATCATAGAACACAGTTTTAGGGTAACTTATTGCTTAAACTAATCGTTGTTAATATTGCTGATTGAAATTGTGTGCAACAAAATCTTTAATAATAAATATTAAAAATAGGCCGCAAACATAGTCAAAGGTATTTGTCAAACTTAAAATATTCCTGTGAAAAGAAAGTAAAAGTAGAAAATTCATAACTAAACATAATGTTCCGTTTTATTCAAATTATTTTTGCGTTATAGTAATAATAGTTATTCAAGAAACATTAAATTCATCATATATCTCTACTCTATTTCATCACGTTAGCCAACAGATACACGAAAGATTGAACTACCTTAATAGTCGATTTCTAATACCTACTAGTTGTTTCGTGCCATTTGATCTACGAGAAACATTTCTTCTTCGACACTGTAGGTCGTGTTGTGATGTTAAATATCCTAAAACCTTCCTCAAGAATTGGGCTATCAAATGCATTAACATGTTTTTAAATCCAACTACTTCTGGGACGAAAATCTTAGGAGATTACCGCGTTCAAACAAACAAACAAAATCTTCAGATATATTACTATGAATATTCAGCAATGCAGAGCGTAACGTG